AGTTTTGGTACTCCATTCGTTAGATATAGACCGATAATTTGGAAGTTCCAATTCTGGTGCTCCATTTGTTGGATTAAAGGTCGTTAACTTGGAAGTCATCGATTCTCTGGATCATTTATTAGAGGAGAATCGGTACGATATTACCAGTTACTTGTCAAATGATAGGTTTCTTGCATCATCACATGTTGAGCTGCGTTCATAAAAATTGTACACAATGTTCATAATCACCTTCATGACTTGTATTATCTTCATGACCAGAACATGCAACATTCATGATAAATATGCACAGTATTCACATATCGCATATTCAACATTCATGATAAATTTGAACAATATTCATACATCTTAATAAAGAAAAAAAATCATATTGTTCTACATTGATGAAAATTGTACACAAGCTTCATAATCTTGTATTATGTACATGACCATGATATGCACAAAATTCATACATTGCAAATGCGAACTTCATGATAAATTCAAATAATATTCATACGACTCAATAAAAAAGAAATTATACGACATAGACCTAACTGTATTATACTATAAGATGTTCAAACTCATTGAATTCTTATTTTTAATACTCTTTCTATTTCAAAAATTAGTTTACAATGAGTTTTCATTGTATATTAATTTTAGTATAAATTTAAAAAATAATGTGGACTATGTTTTTTTCCCTTTTAGAGAAAAAGAGCATCATAATTCAAACTAAATGAAAGCGAAACAGTACAATTTTTTCAAGCTTTGCTTACTAAAGACGAATATGATGAGCAAGAAGAAGCTAGTAGGAAAATGTAGCATAATGGAAAAATTATTGTCCAAATCACATGGACATTCCCTGCGAGCATTATGGAAAAATTAGGATTTCATAGCAGATTAATGGCATTGGTGATGTCAAATATTACACATAGTTGGTTTTCAATCCTTCTCAATGGCAGCCCAATCGGTTTCTTTCAGGCTTCTAGAGGTATCAAGCAAGGAGACCATTTCTCACTTTATTTATTTCTTATAGTCTACGAAGCCCTAACGAGAGGTCTAAAAGCATGGACAATAAATGGACGGGTGGCATTGTATGTGGTGCCGGCAGGAAGTTTTGTCCTGGAATCCTTAAAAAAATTTTGTACGATAAACTCTTCTATTTGGGTAAATTTTAAGCGCTACTCCTTGTACTTTCTTTTTTTAAATTAATAAAATCGTGAGATACCCACCAGGTACCGTCCTGAAATTCTTTTAAAAAAATTCAAACTAAATTTTCGGATAGAAAGAATACAAATTTAAACTAAAATTAAAAATCAAAATTCGACAATAATTTCAAAATTAAAGAAATATCTACTACTATTGCAAAATGTAAGAGCGTTTTTTGATACAATTTTTATATGCACTTAGACTAGTGTATGACTGAATCTGGAAAAGGGAAATCTACTACTAGCCTAATCTATTGGAAGAAATTCTACGCCTGGAACGCCTCTTTACATGTCAATTGGGTGTTTGAAAACCTTCCAACTGCAACGCGTGGGGTTTCCAACAAGGGACTACCGGTTGATGCCAAACCCTTTTACCACTTGGGCTATCCTGTAGATATTAAAACCATATCCTTAATCAAGTGAGAGGATCACTTAGCCAAATGGTACACTTAAAATTGGGGTCCCAACTCCCAATGGCCCTTTATTTGACAAACAAAAATATGCACATGTGGAAATTATACTATGGACCATGGTCCATGTGGTAATGTGATCCTATGAATTGTGAATGTCGTAGGTTAGCTGTCTTTATCCTCCTCTTTGCTTATCTTTTTCTTTATTTTTTTATTTTCTTTTTTACTTTGAAAAGAAAGCTCTCCCCTAATTTTATATAGTATGTATCTTTTCATATCTTTAATTTAAACTTTGAATAATCTATTCATTTCATCCATGACAAAGCAAATTTTAACTGTCATCAATAAAGCATATTTCAACTATCATTTGGAACTTTTGAAAATAAATATTCATTGTGGTGCCATTTAAAATTAGTAGAAAAAAGAATAGTATAAACTATTTGCAAATTTATGTGAACATATAATTATTTTATGAACATTTTACCAAATAATTAGAATGAACATTGGTCTTGTAAAACATTACAATCAATATGTATGAAACAAATACGTGTAAACATGTGAAACTTGTAATGTGAAAAAAAATGGCATGAAATCTTGTTCAATCAATAATAATTTATGAACATTAAATCATTGATGTATGAATCTGGTGGGAAAAAAAATTAAAATTAACATCAATGTGAACATTTAAGTCATATTTATAAACATTGTCAAGTTAATGTATGTTTGAAAAAAAATTAAGATAATGATCTATAGAGAAATTTCAGAGGAAATTTTAACAGAAAATGAATCGTATTATACAAGCATTTCATAGATATGGTACATCAAATTTCTTCATGGTCAACCTTGTTCAAGTGAGGAAACTTCAGAAAGTACAGGACAAAATTGTAACAGGAGGCACATTGCTCTTGGATAAACTACGGTAGAGAATCAGCATGCCTGGTGATGCTCATATTCGCTTTTCAAGTTTGATTATATTTTTCTTAACAGTGGGGATTTGTCATGCCTATGAAGCATTTTCAGAATTTTATAAATTAAGGGGACTACTTTGTAATATATATTTAATTAAGCAGATTGCTAGATAAACAGTGTCATCTCTGAATGAGAAGTTATTGATTATTCTGAAATGCAAATGCATATGGCTGAACTCTGATTCTCCCCAATTCCTTTCTCTCAAATCTCATGTCCTTCCTCCCCTTTAGGGTATCTAATCTCCCCCTCTATAACTTTGAATTTTGTCCCCTTAATTATTAATTCTTACCCTTCATCCTCTTTTCTTTGAATTAATGAAATTTTAGGTCACGGGCGTGACACAATCTACCGAATGATAATTAAAATTGGCCTAATAACCTATTTATTAGTTAGGTAAACAAAGACCGTTATTTGTTTTTCTTAAGCCCAGAGAAGCGGGCTACGAAACAGGCATAACGCCCAATAAACTAGCTGGGTCTAGCCCTCAAATACAAGCCTGTCCTGTTCCAGACACCTCAGATGTCCCTATGGCTGTAACGACGTTATTTGTTGAAGGTACGAGACCATCAACGATTGCAGCCACTCTAATTAATAGCGAAAAATCTATCTATCTATATACTATACTAAGGCAAAAATGAGAGAGAGAAAACTAAAGTCATAGAGCACATGTCACATAGGATTTAATCATATGTGGTATTTTCTTAATTTCCAACACTTAAAAATGCACAAAACAAAATAATAAAACCAAAAAAAAAAAAAGCAACTGAAATAATTTTTAAAAAAAACAAAATAATAAAAACCGAACCCTTATTTTCATGAACCAAATCCTAACAGAGAGATTGATTGGAGAGAGTACCAAATCCTAACAAATTTTAGAGAGATCTGCATAAACCTTATCACCACTGAATTTAAAATGTCATTTAACAAAAAAAACAAATTCTTGTAAATCCAAAAGTAATCACGTTTAAAACTGAAACTAGCGGATTCTCATAAACTAAATCCCTAAAACATATGCTTTCTCCTCCGCACAGCCATCTGAATTCACCCAATTGACTCGGAGAGGCGACTTTTCATATTTTTCTTAAAACACCGGTAGGTTTACGGTCGATACAGAGGTGGCGAACAGCGAGAACGGAAGAAGAAGAAGGCGAGAGTACTGGATGATGATGCTGTGGCGAGAGATGCTTGAGGAAAATAGGAGTGCGGTGGTGGAGATGGCTGGTCGGACGGCGGAGGAGTGTCAGTCGAAGAGTTGTTAGAGATGCCAGAGATGATTGGCTGACCGGGAACCGAATTTTAAGGTATTTATCATCTTCGTTGTGCCTGCGATGATGAAGAATGTATGAAATTGATAAGCTTTGTTGTCGTTGTTCTCTATATATATCTCTTTGTTATCGTTGCTAATTGATTTTTTTCCTTTTAATTCAGAGCTGTTATCATGCGCAAAGGTTGACAATCTCACCGTCTGAAAATTGGTCATGGTCACCAGTCACCGTCGATTGGGATAGGCTTTTGGAGACGATGGCTAAAAGGGAAGAGAATATAATTTGGTGGAGATTCACTTAGAGAGGCTGCAATTGAGCGATATCGGGTTTACCGCAATATCTAAAGTTCCAAGCTGGAGATTTTGCATTTAGTAAAGGCTTTGGATTGCACGAACGCTGGTGTGGTGGTCGTAGCTGAGAACTGTAAGTTTTTGACAAAACTCCACATTAATGGGTGGAGGTCAAATAGAATTGGAGATGAGGGTTCGATTGCTATTGCTATGAACTTTGTCAATCTTCAAGAACTTGTCCTTATTGGTTTGAATCTAAGTTCAGTTAGCATGTCTGCTATTCCATCAAATTGTAAGAAGAGATACTCCCACCCTAAGATACTCCCACCCTCATATTTTAAATAAAATATTTTTTACAATGGGTAAGTTAAAGTAAAAATAAATTATTAGATAGATAACGAGAAACAGCTATATCAAACGAACAAATGGGTTAGCAAAAAAAAAGAGAGATAATGTGAAAATGCATCGTAAGTTTAAAAAAAATAAAATAAAAGCACTAAAAAAATAAGTCACTTCAAGACAATGAATAAAGGTCCTGATAATTGATGAAAATGATGATGCCAATTCCATGATTACAAATGTAGTCTACAAAGAAGTTTTACATGATATATAGAATTATAATCATTCAATTCGAAGTTTTTTTTTTTTTTTTTAATATTCTCTATTTTGAATTTCTTAACAATCCTCCATGCGTTAGATAAATTATCATTGTATTCATTTGATAAAGTGTTGTTGGTGTTTGTGTTTATATTTTCCAATGAAGTCATTACATATTTTAGTGTTGTTGATGTTTGTGTTTATATTTTCCAATGAAGTCATTACATATTTTATAAAAATACAAAATTTATATAAAAATATTTATATGTATATGCCTTCCCCGTCCATCAGACAGGTCTAACACCTAGTAAAAAGAAAAGAGAAACTGATAACCATATTCTCAACTTAGAATCACACAACAGTAAGATATGGATCCGGGTGACATTAAACTTGTATTTCTACATGACTAAAAAAGAAAAAAAAACTTCCATTTCTGAAATGGACGTAACGTAATACATACCTGACCTATACTGATATTGCATCTCATTACAATTGGAACAAAGAAAAGTTACAACCATTGCAAGGTAGAATGGCGAATAATTGCGATCAAGATTCATGAACGTGTTTGATGCTTCATTGCTACTATTATACAATTAAGGAAAATGACTCCAAGGATAAGGTAAGCTTGAGACAAAAAGCACAATTTTAGACTGTGAGAACAACTCCTACCAGTAGGAAAATGTGAATAAACTAATAAGAAGTCCAACAAAAATCTAAACTTGGTAGAATCCGACTCTTTTCTACAGATCAGGTTTATTGGCAAAAGGTTTACTTAAGCTTCAAAAAGAAAAACGAGGCTGCTACTAACTTATGTACACAATTAAAGGGCTTTCATGAATTGCACTTATTGGCTTATTGAAAGTTCTGCACTGCTGCTGCACTTGAGTCTCGAATGCTATAATCATAAAAGAACCAAACGGTGATTTCCAGTTCATCAAATCCCACAACTTTATCTAATTCAATGGCATAACCTTCAGCCGTATGTTTCCCTTGAGCACAATCAGTTTTCTTCATCTTCAGCAAAAGCTGAAACAAAATACATCAATAATCGTTTTATTAATTAACATCATCAGCAGCTGTTAACCAATCCAAAAGTGATACAAGCATAGTCAAACGTCAGTCATTCACAAAACCTGTATGCATCATCCAGTCACACCACCGGTTTGGAAAGAAATGAGAAAGCATGGACATATGAAGCACATGGAAAAAAGTAAAACAAGAAAGAAGCCATTTTAGAGAAAAGCTTGTCATTTAGATACGGAAAATCAAACTGTACTGCTATAGGCCAAAGAATGTAAACTATAAACAAAATATGGAATACTAATCAATTTATTCTCCGAAGAATACAAGGATATGAGCTGTGCTTCAAAGGTGGAGGGACCATATAAGCCATCGAGCAAGATGTTTTCAGAGTTGCAGAACACAGGTAAACTAGTGCAGCTAAACACACAGATCCTCAGACCTGATATGAAGTTTTAGTTCAACATTTTGACTCACTTCCCCATTCAAACATCTCAACAAACAGCACAAGATACTTCATCTTCAACAATCCCCTCTCTTTCTGTTCATTTGTAACAGCAATGGTCATCAAGTGGGAATTAGTGCAGGAATCTCCAATAATAGTAGCCAATGCCCGGTGCAAGGCTGGAACTAGGTTGCAGTTGAAGTTCACTCTCGTTAAACTTCAACTCAGGTGTATGAATTCTATCTCCCAGTTGCTCCTTCATTATCATTCTAGTGAGAACTAATTTACTAGGTAAACGAGTAGCATTATTTGCTTAAGATGATCAAGGGTATCAAATGGAAGAATTCCTTCCCGTGGTGAATTCTAACACTAGCATAGTCCCCTAAAACTCTATAGCCACAATCTATCGCACACTAGAAAAGAATTCCAAGTGTGTGTGCTGTGAGTGAGTCCACTTCGTCAACCTAAATTACAGAAATGAATTGGCAATTAACACTAAACATAATCCCTCCCTACAAAACAAACGAACTAGTATCACAATTCACAAAGAGAAGTTTATTTGATCTTCATTCTAGATTCATAATCAGCTGTCAATAGAATGAAAAATTCATACAGCCAACAGTTCAAACAGAGGCAATTAACAAAACAAACTCGGCAAGAACACAATCAACAAAGCTCCAATTCCAATTTCCAATTAACATACGGAATCAACCAGCGTCAACCAAAATAAACCACCAAATAAGGGTAGATTAAAAAAATCAAATAAGGGTTTTACCTCCACAGCCAAAGCAACAATAGCAGCAAGTGATGATTAGGAACACCTCTCTGCAGATAGCAATAAATTTCCCTCCTGCCTTTGAAGGGTTTTCAAAATCACTGCTCAAAAGCCTTTCTTGACAACCATTCTCATCGTTTGGATCGCTGGAACTGCCGGTATTGGAATCTTGCTGCTCCTGTTGTTTTCTTTGCTTGTCTAGTTTCAAAAGGCGAAGGCTCCATTCCAGTTGCTTCAAGTAATCAACCTTGAATGAGTCCCTCATCTTCATTGATGGCCATAGATGCATCTTTGATGTTATTCGGATTGGATTTTGGTAGCAAAAACAGGGGTTATGTTTCTGAAGGGGAGAATTTGGGAGTTTGTCTGATTTTCTGATTCGTCAAAATCATGGAATGAGTTACACGAAAATACCGTCATTATCATCAAGTTGGAAACGTGCGAGTCAACTTTTAGTCAAACACTTTTTCGAATAAATTTTTTCTCTTACAAAAAATATTTTTGCTTTTGAAACCTCTTTTTAATAAAAAAAAAAAAAACTTACATATCTTTTGATCATTCATCATTATAATTTTCTTTACTGATATATTATATAGTAGTACTCCCTCCGTCCCCTAATTATTGTCCAATTTTACTAAAATGAAATATTTTATTTTTTGTCAAATTTAATTATATTTTACCTTAAACAACCGGATATACCCCTACATAAGTAATTGTTTAACCATTAAGATTTTATGGATAATTTTTTTTACTAAAGACAAATGTGTAACTTGATCCATAAAAAGTCAAATTGGACAATAATTTTGGGACAAAATTTTTTAGGCAAAGTGGACAATAATTATGGGACGGAGGGAGTATCTTTTTGAGAAATACCCAAAATACACTCATAAATAAAGTGACAAAATGATTTTCATTTTCTTAAAAAAAAAACTTATGGATCGATCAATCATTTGACAAAATTATTTGCTAACTTATATTAAATTATTATTTTATTTTTTTTAACAAATAAATCGCCTAATTGATCCACTATATTTGGCCAAAAAGTATTTGTTATCTCAATAAAGAAAATCTTGCATCTATTCGCCACAAAGAGAATGCTTGTTATCCCAACATTTTTCAACACGACATACTTTCTAGCTAATTTTGACCCCCCAAAAGAAAAAGGTTAAAAAAAATTGAAGCACACAAAATTGCATTATATTGTGTGTGGAATGTGGATGACCAAAGTTACGTTTTGGCCAAATTATATTGAGCAGCCGGTACTACCTAAATAGGTAGCACCGGGCTGGGCAGGGGCGCGCTGAACGCGCCTGTTCAGTGCTTTTTTTTCTTTTTCTTTTTTAATTTTATTTTTGTATTTTAATTTTTTTAATTTTATAAAATATTTTTTAAATGTAATTTCAACCACTTTTATATATGCAATTAATAGGTTAGGATTTAATGTGTGATGTAACATGAATAACTTATAAATTTTTTTTAATTCAATTAGGCTAGGGTCTCGTTTAGCCTAATTGAATTAAAAAAATTTAAAGCGAATAAAAAACATAATGTGTTTAGTGTTTAGGATTTAGGTGAGTTTAAGCATTTTAATTAAGGGCCTGTTTAATAAAACTTAATTTGGGTATGAAGTGTGAAATCTGAAAACTGAATCATAAGTACTGAATTGATTAAGTTTGTCGTGTTTGATAAAAACCAAAATCTAAACACTGAATAAAATGTCTGAAATCTGAAGTCTGAACACTGAAATTAAAGTATCTCGGCCTATAATTTTATCTAAAAAAATAATTGATGTATATGAAACTATGATAACAAAAATAATTATTATTATTAAATAATGTAATAAAAATATTTAAATTTTATTATGTTATTATTTTTTCAGTTAATAATAATGTCATATTTTATCATTGTCAAAAAAAAATTCATATTTTATGGTAAAGATATATTAATGATGGAATTTAATGGATTTTAATTTTTTATCTAAAAAATAAATATTTATTAAATAAAAAATAATTTACATAAATTTTAATTTAGAACTAGACATCATGATTAATAAAAATATTTCAAGATAAAATATCAAAAGTATAAACTTAAAAATAAATAAATAGAGAAAAAAATTATCTCAAGAATTTAGTTCAGACATAAGTGATAGGCCTATCACTTATTTTTAGGCTCACATTTGTACTAGCATTTCATACCCACTTAATTTATTAAGACATTCTACTTTGAGTTATCAAACACACTTAAAACTTAAGTCTTTAATAAATTAAGTTCTTACGCAATTAAGTTGTTATGATAGTGTGTTATCAAACAGTGCTAATCAATTAAGTACTTAATTAATAAGTTTTAAGTACTTAATTGATTTATCAAACAGGGCCAAGTTAGGGTCTAGTTATTAGTTTTAAGATGGAATTTAAAAAATAATAAAATTAAAAAAAAAGGCAAAAAAAGGGGTGAGCGTGCCCGGTATAACAACTGAAATTCATTTCACTCTTTAGGAGTTCCATTTTTATTTTTTATTTATTTAAATTTTTTGGTGCGTATTAGCGCACCCAGTGTGGGAAGACATTGTTTAGATTAATCTCACGAGGATTCGCATCAGTTAAATTTTGTTCGAGCCATAAAATTCTTTCAATAATTATTTTAATTACCGTTACCTTTAGCTTATGTTGATTAAAAATAAGAATTTAATAAATAGATGAAATTATTATTATGGAGTCGTAAACTTTTAGATAACATCATAGTAAAAAAATTTTGAAAACGCTGGAAAAATTTGATATCTACTCTATTCCCGCATAACATAAATAGCTGACTAAATTGAATCATTAAACTCCTCATTCTTCAACATGGTGTACCCTGCAACTCGATCGAAAAGATCTTAAGCTGAAATACGATGGATTCTTGGTTTTGATTTCTTCAACTTCCTGTAGTTGTATCATTTGTAAGCCCAGATATACTGCCATTCTAATCAGTGAATTAGGATTTTCGCAGTAATCTGGGGGCTTCATTTTGGGTTCCGCTCGGAATCATGGACGTCATGGACAAGCAAAGTGCTCTGGATTATATCAACCAAATGTTCCCCACAGGTGCTCTTTTCTTCTCTTTACATTTTTGATCAGAATTTAAAGGTTTTTTTTTTGCCCCCCTATGAAGTGTATGCGTTAATTTGTAGCGGATATTATGGTGAGATTTTTAGTACTCGGTTCAGTTTTGAAATTGCGGAGTCAAATTTAGTGCTCATGTAACAACTGATTTAGATCACGAGGGAACTTCCTGTTATACTTAATTGGCGGCAATGTTGTTCATGGACTTAATGGAGAGAACTGTAGTACAACTACCAACTTCCTTTTTGAAGATGTTGGAGTGGTTTAGCTTCTTGTTTGATTGTTTAAAACATTTCTTGGACTTGCTGAAGAGTTTGTGCGTAGAAACTTAAGGTTGTGTTACGAAAGTTCTGCCATCTTTCTTCAATATGTTGAGGGGAAAAAAATGTGCTATCATGAGTTTACTCATTTGGCTTCAGGTGGTTGTTGAAAATGACACCCCGAATTGTGGGTTATATTTATTTGTTCATTTGGATTAACAGCCATTTTAAGGGCTTTTCGTGGTTTCTTATGCAATATTTGTGCTGCTATCATTTTTGCGGTTGATCTTTGACATCTGAAATGTTTGTTATTCATCGACAATTAGTTTTTCTACTTCCCAGTGTAAGCGTATGATTTTGTTTTTCAGAGGCTTCGTTTTCTGGTGTTGAACCAATGGTGCAGAAAGTACATAGTGAACATCGCCGTGTTGATGCGGAAATTTTAGCTGCTCTGGGACAGCAGGTTCGTTACCTCTCACCATCCTCCTCCTCTTCATTTGTTCGAGATTGTTAATCTCTTGTTTGTGTAAAGTTTACAATTATCAGAATGATGATATACTTGAAATGCATATTTATGAAGATTGAAAATTTGTTTCATGAGGTTGTCTTCATTTTGCTTAAATATTTTTCTTCTTTTCCCTCAGTTTGCCTTTTCAATCTCGATCACTGATAGAATTTTTAATCCTTTGTATAACACGTCTGGTATAGAAGACATTGTCCACAGGAGTATTTGTGATGCATATTCCAATCGTGAAAAGTTGTTTAACAGTGGGAGCCTTATTTGTCTGCTTGCTGAATCTTGAAGCCAAAATTCTTGTAAAACATGTCAAATGGTGTCATCAAGAGCCCGTGTTGGGCCTTGCTAAGCCACATTTCCATTTGTTTCCACCTCTGAAGAAGTAAAAGAATTGTTGGAGTAACCGAGCAGTAAACCTAATTATTGTTTTTAGGAGGGACGGTTCATTATGCTTCAATTGGATTCATTAAGTTTAGCTACATTACACATATGATGATTCCCCAAGATGAACACATTTGCTAAGTTAGCTTCAATTGTAATGGCATTAAACGGAAGGATTTCATATTATCGAATTTGTTTCATGATCACTTTCTTTAGTATATACAACATGCATGGGAACAAAATGATGGGGGATGACAACGAATTGTGGATCAAACTTTGAAAAATAATCTAATGTATTTTCCAGCCAAATCATGTTATAATTTGACTCCATCTCATAGGTTAACAAGGTGTAAACTGTCTTTGCTTTCTCCAATTAGGGATAAAACAGTTGCTGCAATATGTTTTGGTGTGAGCCCAGCTTCTTCAACCTGATCCTTTGGAGCCCCATGGTCAATGTATCTGTCAGGTAGCATCATGGACCTCAACTGCAAAAAATATTAATTCGTCATCAGAAAAAGCGTCATAAGCATTCTGAATACTGTTTCACTTCTCGTGTAACACTCTTCATTATAGTATTATGTTACAAAAGATCTCTTGTGTGTTACTTAGCATTTTAGCCAAATTTTTGCTGGCTGTATTTATTTTGTTGAACTTTATTATTACCTTCAGATTTCCATCAAGTAATCCATTCAATGATAAGAAGTGTGAGACATGAGAACCAAAGCCTCCAATTGATCCTTCTTCAACAGTGATGAGGACTTCGTGTTCTTTCGCGAGTTGCCGGATTAAAATCCCATCAAGAGGCTTGCAGAATCTTGCATCAGCAATTGTAGCTGATATGCCAATCTCTTCAAGAAGTTTTCCAGCAGCTAAACAGTTCTGTACTATAGTTCCATAACCCAATATAGCTACCCTGCTTCCTTCCGTTAAGATCCTTCCCCTGCCAATCTACAGTTTCAAACATTTCATTAAGAACAGGATACAAATTTGGGCAGACAGCAACGAATAAACAGAATAATGACATTTTTTTTTTTCTTTTGAAAAAGAGTGGTGTCATTTCTTAGTTGTTAATGTTGTCTACCTCCAAAGGAGTTCCTTTGTTGTTTGTTGGAAGAACTACTCCAATGCCATTGCCTCTTGGATACCTCAAACAACTCGGGCGGTCATCGATAGAAGCAGCGGTTGCAATCATGTGCATGAGTTCAGCCTCATCAGCTGGAGCCATGACAACCATATTGGGCAAACAAGCCATATATGTAGTGTCAAATGCCCCACAATGTGTTGGACCATCAGCACCTACAAGTCCTGCCCTGTCCATAGCAAATCTCACAGGCAGTTTCTGAAGATCCACATCATGAACAACCTGCAAACGTTTTCAATGATAAATTCCAAAAATCAGCATTAGTTAGAGGGTCAGAATTCATGAAGGGGTTATTCTAGCATTGACTAAAGTTAGGCATTTGTTTGTTTACCTGATCATAACCTCTTTGAAGAAAAGATGAGTAGATAGCACAAAAGGGTTTTAGTCCTTCTACGGCTAAACCAGCAGCAAAAGTTACTGCATGTTGCTCGGCGATCCCAACGTCGAAACATCGTTCAGGGAAGCGTTTTTGGAACAAATTCAGACCAGTTCCACCTCCCATTGCAGCATGGATAGCCACTATCTTTTCATCTTGCTCTGCTTCAGCTATCAATGACTCCGCGAAATAAGTGGTGTATGCCTTTGTTTTTGACACAGACTTCATTTGCTTTCCAGTCCGAGGATCAAATTTCACAACCCCTACATTGTCAAAAATCAAAGTCATTAGTCCATAAAATTTGCCTTTTCCCTAAAAAGATTCTGCTGAAATATCACAGCACATTGGTTTTGAGATTGATGCCTGATGAAAGCATACCGTGCATTTTATCCGCGGCTGCTTCAGCAGGAGGGTACCCTTTTCCTTTTTCAGTGACAACGTGAATCAGGACAGGTCCAGGTGCAGGCAATGATTTTACTTTCTGGAAAATGTACACAAGATCTTCAATGTTGTGGCCATCAACTGGACCAATGTAATAAAGTCCCAACTCTTCAAACAGAGGAGCCCCTGATCCACTAGCGAATCCTCTGACATAAGTATCCACTTTGGATGCAATTTCATGTGTGTGTGTCCCTAGGCTCTTAGTCACTTCCTGTGAAACATAAGAACATTGAAATGATATAAACACAATTGTGCAACACTTAAACCTCAAATCAGAGTTTAATTAGTTTTGTTAAATTACTTTTGCTGCTTCCCGGAGTTGGCGAAATTCGGTGCTTGCTTGAAGCTTGGCTAAGGTTTGACTCAATGCACCAACAGGGGGAGCTGGACCATCAACTGTGGCTGTAGGGAGGGAAACCTGTTTATTATCATTTAATATGATGATGAGATTTGAATCAAGATAGCCTGCATTGTTCATGGCTTCAAAAGCTTGTCCTGCTGTCATGGCTCCATCTCCTATTACTGATATTACATGATTGTCCTTCCCTAGCAGATCTCTTCCAACTGCCATTCCTGCAGCACATTAAACATCCCATGGCAAATCATTAGACGGTCCAATCTAATTATTCCTTTTCTTAGCAAAAATTTACAACCATTAATACTCGTTGTTGGGGTGACAACCAAGTCGTGTTTAGTGATCACAGGTTTAATAGCAATTTCAGAGAAACAAATATGCTCAGTTACATTTTTTCTTCCTTATATATATTCATATCGTGTCACAAAAATGTTAATTGTCGTTTCTGGTTACATTATGAGAATTTTTGAACAATTTTGTTTTACCTAAACCGGCAGAAATGGATGTTGAACTGTGCCCAGCTCCAAAGGCGTCGTGCACACTTTCATCCCTTTTAGGAAACCCAGCGAGTCCAAAAGTTTGTCGGATTGTATGCATCCTTGCCCTCCTTCCAGTCAAGATTTTGTGTGGATATGTCTGCCAAAAAACCATCACATCGACATAACATTAATTTCTTCATTTTCATATAAACGATATAAAAGACGCTTCCAATAAATAGATTGTGAGGAGTAAACGGATACTCTAACTACCTTATAAGAATTTTTACCAGTAAATATCTATTACACAAAAGTAAAGAAAATTGGTTCCTTAGTTAATTTTTCATAGAAAACTTTAAATCTACCGAATTTTATTTATTTCAGTTTTGTAAAATATCCACTGTCAACAATAATGACCAATCTTAGCCGTCGAATGGATTTTCAATAATCTTGAGGAGGCAAAAAAATATCTAACTAACTTCTGATCTTGATGAGGATGATGTTTAGTATGTATTATTCGAAGTTACTATTAACATGATCAACCCATTATTATTGATTAGCTAGGCCGAATAAGTAAGTACAACTGTCACACATTCACATTCAATGTTATGGTACACCAGCCTCTTTTGCTGGTCTAAAGTCAAAAAAAAAAAATGGTATTATAATTAATTAAGTACCATATTCTCTGATCATGCACTAATTAACACAAAAAATATAGGCCCATTAATTAAAAATTCAACTTCCAAAGTCATCAATTACTATTGAATAATTAATAAAATGGTTTTCTTACCTGATGACCGACATCCCAGATGATTTTATCTTCAGGAGAATTGAATACATGATGAAGAGCAACAGTTAGCTCAGTAACCCCAAGGCCTGCACTTAGATGCCCCCCGGTCTTCGACACCACATACACGATTTCTTCCCGCAGCTCATCGGCTAATTGCTTAAGCTCCTTTATTTAAGACAAAATTAAAAGCATAATCATTAGCTATTACTCCTTATGATCATATTATAAGATACAAATTATTCTCACATAGTTAATTTTCTTTATTTACACCCCTTAATCATGTAACTTCTAACGGTAGTTTTGTTCAACATGGCAACTTTTGTGAAGAAAAGGTTCGGTCTAAAGTCAATGTCGCTTTTCATCCTTAGCAAAATTAATGAGAATATCAAGGTCAAAATTTCCCGACAAAGACATACTTGTGACACTTAGTATACAATAGTCAACAAACATTGAAATTCATTAGCTTAAGATAGTAAGGAAAGTTTTGGCATGAATCTCGTTATCTAAACAATGGCCTACATTATTACAATCCCATACAATGAGTATATATATAACGTGCAACGGGTCCTATTCACCAAATGAGGATGAACCAGATGTATGAAATAATTTTTCGTGGATGATAATTTTGGTAATAGAAATTAAGAGGTCCTCAAAATAATTAAAAAGAAAGAAATTCATATGAAAAATGATGAACACGTCGGCTGAAAACTCCACTTCAGCATCCACGCATGTCTCTCCTTTCACTACGTCTATTCCAAAAAAACAATTCACATTGAATATTTATATTTGTATTATTTTTAATACAAATTTCAAACTTAAAATAAAATATATTTTTTTTCCGTGACAGAAGGAATAATAAACAAGGCGATATATGAGAGGCATACATATCGATATGTATTTCTGGGATTTCAATTGAATAAATTTGCTTAAATTGAAGGGACCATCTTGATTTTCACTCTACCATGCAATTAATGACAGTAAGCATTACTGGTATTTTACCATTTTCTAAAACTCACCTGAACTGAAAGATTCTTCATATGAATAGGATGATTTATGGTGTCCAAAATTGGAGTATCTGGTTTCTCTCCAGAGAATTTGAGACTACTTGTTTTAGGCTGTCCATTTTGCTTTGTCAAATACTCATTCTTCACTAAATCATCAACTTCATTGTTTGCATTTGTACTACTCTTGTCCTGCTGATGAACAGACACTACTCCAGAAAACTGTAAAAAATATCCAAGTACAAAGTAAGTCGAAATAATTATTTTCCTTCAACATTAACAACAATGAATTGTTCGTCACACTATGTGAAATCGACTATATATACAGAAATCATATGTTATTATCGTACTCTATTAAAAAAAGGGGGGGGGGGTTTACCTTTCTCTTGTTGGTGCGAATACAAGTAAACAAGCTTGAAGAAGAAATAGCATCTTGAGATTGGAACAAAGGGAGGACATTGCTCCTCATGAAAACACCACATGATGCTGCAGAAGCCATCTTTTCTCTCTCTCAAATGACCTTAATTATATGTTACTCTGTGTGTGTGTGTGTGTGTTTCTTCCCTCCCTCCTCAGCTACCAGATGATTTGGAAAATGGTTAAACTGTGTGGAAGCTGGAGAGAAGAGCACAAACCAATGCAATGAAGAAATTGATAGTTTGGTCTTTCTCCTAATTAGGTGTAAGAATTCATTGGCATTTTATAGGGGAAAAGAATGGTAACTGAAAATGAACCAAACCAGTGCAACACATGTGGGATGCAAACACATTAAAATCGAATAAATAATTAATGTGTAAGTACCTTGCACTTCTACCATTGTTTATTGTATTTTAGTCAAAAGAGTGTGTTTTCAGATATTTGTTTCTTTTTTTAAAAAAGAAATTTAATTTTTACATCAAGTAAATGCATATTATATGAATTGTTATTCTCTGATGAATGCGATTGAACTAAAGAAGGAAATTTAGGAGTATGGAAAGAGAGAAATACATAGTACCGGAAATTGAAAGATTCCTAACTAATTCGACCAAAATTAAATCCGGCTTGCTCTTTGGAGGATTTTCTTAAAATGATTATAACTGTTCTTTTTCTTCTTCAAAAAAAAAATAAAAAACTGTTCTTTTTCAGTTTAAAAAAAAATAAAAAAGAAAAGAAATGTACAGTACTAATAATTTACCAAATAAACATTTTGACCAGAATCTTCAAGAAAGCGTAAGGAAGTACAAACCGTTATGTGGTCACTTTGTTTTAAAAAGAAGCTAAACTAATTATTCAATATTCATGTATGCCAATTTATTTGTCACTTTAAAATTTTCTTTTCTCTTGGCACAATAAACTACGAAAAAAAATTTAAGATCATATTATAGGCAAGAAATGCTGACCATGTCATACTCCAAGCGGTATATCCTTCAATTTCACAGCACACAAGTCACCTTTGTATAGGACACCAATAATTGTTGTTCTCTTTTCTTCCAACAGTATAGTACTTCACATTAAAGGGGAATAATAAATGTGTTATTAAAAAAAAAAGTTATTCCAAACTGTTCTTCAAATTTTTTTCTCTTCATATTTATATATTCATTTCAGACTTCATGCCCCAAAAAGATAAAGAAAAAAAAAAAGCACAGCAAAGTTTGGCATAATATTTGGAAAATATAACATGTCTTTTTAAGATAGGAACTACTCCCTCCGTCCCATAATTATTGTCCACTTTGTCCAAAAAATTTTGTCCCAAAATTATTGTCCAATTTGGCTTTTTATGGATCAAGTTACACATTTGTCCTTAGTAAAAAAACATTATCCATAAAATCTTAGTGGTTAAACAATTACTTATGTAGGGGTATATCCGGTTGTTTAAGGTAAAATATAGTTAAGTTTGACAAAAAATAAAATTTTTCATTTTAGTAAAACTGAACAATAATTATGGGACGGAGGGAGTATGATGTAAGATAGACTTATTTAAGTGAGTACATAATGGACTCAATATTAATCCCGATTTAAAGTGAATATATAAAACCCCACAAAAAATATGCTTTTTCATCTTTGATTGAATTACTTAAGACCCACCCAGTGGAAGAACTGGCTGTTTGTTGTTTGCGTGTCAGATTCAATCAATAATGTGTTTGTTAAAGGCAGCGTTAGATTAATTAGTTTGAGCTTGTGTGGTGAAAATATTATAGTAGCAAATTAATGAACTTTGATCAATAATGCAAAAAACAAGAATTAGGTATTGGTGCGTACTTTTTATTGGCCAATAGATTAGATCTCTTAACAAAAATCAATGAAACGCAGAACGAAAAGATAATACTGATACTACGTTCTCTACCCATATCTTGTCTCTCTGAATTTTGGAACTAAACACATATTGAAAAATCATTCGTTGTTGTTGCTGGATTGGATTGGATTGGATTTATTTATTTATTATTATTGTTGTTATTTACATAAACCGCAATCAATATACATTTCAAATAAATTAGGATACGCGCTTGGAACACCAATCATTTGTTAACCTATTCTACCGAGATAGCAATCCTTAATTTCCACACATTTAGAATACATGGATCACATGTACGAATGATTTTGCCTAAAGAAAAATTATAATTTAAAAAAATTTTGTTCAAGATTGATCCTTATAAAAAGGGTATATAGTAGGGGAAGTCTTATGCATGCAAAAAACGTACGAGCCAGGTTTTGGTTGCTTCTAAAATTTCCATATTATTTAAGTAGACTAAAATGTCCTAATAGTCACTTATATTTCGGCTTACTTGAATTTATCCTAACATTAACATTTCAATATCGTAGTCCCAAACATTATGTTTTCACACTTTTTTTTTTGTCTCATTTCACTGTTTCGGCCACTTTTTTGTCCAGCTCGATGTTGATCGATAATTGACTTGCCGGAATCAGGGACATTTTTGTCTTTTCATAAAATTTGAACTTTTATTGAAATTTAAATCATTAAAAATATTATAAAATTCACATTTACTTATTTAATTTTTAAAATATTATTTATTAATTTAAAATATTATTATAAAATTTAAAATTCACATTATTTTTAAAAAATTACTTTCTACGACCATTTGGACTACGATATGTATCTGGCAATATCGAAGATTATTTTTCAGCATTCAAAAATGTCTCAAAAGCTTTTTTTGAATGCCGACTTTACTACTCCCTCCGTCCCAAAATTATTGTCCAGTTTGGGTTTCATTTTTAGTATAAAATGAACTAAAAGTAAAAATTCAAACTGAACAATAATCTTGAGACAGAGGGAATAGTTTGCTTTGTTGGATTAACTGTGACTTCAGTAGTCAGTAACATTAGAAACACAAGTCATCATATTTTGTGTCTCAATCTATCCTCACTTTCTGGTTCCTAAATGAAGGTTTAATAACTTTGCGTTGCACATTCGTATATGATGACTTTGCTTGAGCCACTAAATAAAGGGTGAAAAAGAAAATGGCATTTCAATTTTTTCGTTGAAATCTTTATTAATTTCCCAAAAAATGTCCATTGTTATAGACAAAAAAAAATTGAGTTCACGAAATGTTTGAATCTGAAAGATTGTCATATCATGATCTGGCCAAATGCAAAATGCACGAGACCTGAGTGCACCATTTGTTAATTGTTAATTTTCTTTTCTTTTCTTTTTTTTTTTCATATTTTGCACCAAAGAAAGATGGTTGCAAATTGGTACACTGCCGTGAATATCTTTCAAATCTACAAACTCCAAGTGGGGCTTCTTTTACTAATCAAAACACAATTGGCGTTTCTTCCAATTTTTCTTCCCTTCAAATCATCAGGGCGATAGAATCATATTATACATCTCAAATTTTATTGTAGTTTGATTAACGAATTTTTATTTTATAATCAATATATACATTAATCATAATTGACAAACTCGCATAATTAAATATATTTAAAACACCTCCAACAAATTGCTGTCCAGACTATATAAATGAAATGGAGTAATTAAAAAGTTTAGAACCTTTTCTTTGTCCCTTTTCGCGCGCCCACATGAACAATCGATCTCGTCATATATATATATATATATATATATATATATATATATATATATAGTTTTTCTTTCTGGTTCATTCCCCTGAACCCATGTTATGTTGACTAAATTTTTTGTGAAATGATTGGCTTTTTACAAAATTCAATACATAATTGTATGACTGTGACCTTTTTAAGAGGCAAATAATTATTACTTTTATTAATAAGGAATTTAATTACTACTACTTTTTAAGTCTCATCCCATGTTATCAAAGTCGATCGAGATAAAGATCACTACTTTTATTCACTACTACTTTTATGCGCTTAATTAAAGATCTCATTTAGAACCATTAAAAATAGAATGAATCTGCAATAATATTTGTCCGGTTGAGACTGAAGTAGCCAGAGGGATTTTGGTATTACCAGACCCAATTTTGGCTTCATTACACTTTAAACCAATAACTGAAGTTCGGTCCTCGCGGTTCTCGTTTTGTTTCTGGTTTGACAATGACATCGTCTCAACCTGATGAACTTGCATATGAAAATCACTCAAACTCGTGTCAAACTTGACTCATTACGTCGGAATCAAGACCAACTCGAGCAGTCGCACTCATTGAACATCATATCTGGGGTAAGGGGTTGCGGTCTTTTACAAGATTGGATGAATGTATCGTTTAATTCTACTGTGAAATGCAGGAAGTGGGAAAACTATAAATGACTGTATATGATTCAAGAACAGTACAGATTGAATGTAGAAGGGTAGGGGTAAATAATAAAGGCAAGGTCAGCTAGACATCTGACTATGTTCCGAGTACTTAGCTCAAAAAATTTCACAATCATATCAGCTATTTTTTTTCATCCAGACAGCGCAAAAATCAGAAGATAGCTCTTTAGAGGGAAACCCCCGTCGTAAAACCACACCAAGTAAGCCAATATGTTTCTACTTCAGCCTCAACCAAATTACAAGCAGCATTAGTTATTTTCTTCTCAAGAGTTTAGCCACCTCCTGCTTTCAGCGTGTTGCTCAACCTGTTGACAACAAAGTGGCCGGGAAATCAATCAGCTGACATGTAATAACCAGGGAAGGGTACGGCGGAACAGCATTTAATTACTTGAACCGAGGAAGAGAAGGAAAAATAGAGGGTGCGATCTTACCAATCCAAACCTTCAAACAAGCCTTCTCCTTTGATGGCAGAGGTTTTAAAGATAGCCCACTGTCGGTTTTTTATCTTGTGCAATTCCAAGGACTCTGTCACAGCAGCATCATCAAGTGCACCAGGAAGATCCTGCGCGCAAGAAAAAAATATCAAATAATACTCTTGTACAAGCATCAAAAAGGAATTAGGCGACACACACACAAATACAAACCTGCTTGTTGGCAAAAATGAGAACAACAGCTCCTTTTAACTCATCTTCCTGTCACAGGATAAAATAGTAAACTTCAGAAGAAAGTAAGACCCATAGTTTACATACTAAAACGAATGACTGACAGCTTTAGGGTGTTCAACAAACATCAGACCAGGTGAGAGAAGGAAACAGTATGTTTGCTACACAATCTGTTGCCATATTCCCATGGAAATGGACAAATATTTCCCACAATTAAAACTGCTTATTCAACAATGTTATACCCATTATTTAAAAAAATAAATAAATAAATAAATAGGTACCATTAAACTCTAATAGTTCATGCAATTTGTGCACTCAGGCACTAAAGATATTGGGCAAACAGCATGGGAGGTTTAGAAACAAGAATGGGATCAGTGTGGTACATCATTAGACAAGACTCCTAAAAACAAATTCAGAAGTTCAAGTTCTCAAGCAAGCACAAGAGGTAAAATTTCCAAAAAATATTTATAAAAGTAAGCATATGCAAAAAATTAGGACAGAGATAAGATAAATTATAACCTCCAGTATTGCATGGAACTCCTCTTTAGCCACCATTAGCCTATCAGTATCACTTGAGTCGACAACATATATGATGGCTTGAGTATTTGGAAAGTAACACCTCCAATAAGGCCTATAGTGAAAAGACAGTCATTAATTAGTTCATAACCACATAGGATTCAAAGACAGATATATTCAACATGGTGAATGCACAATGTAAAGCAACGAAAAGATAGTATACATCCACCAAATAAGGTCCAACATGGGCATGCCCTTATTCAATTAACAAGTAAAAAAGTGCTTTATTAGATCACTTAAATCTCTACATCACATAATTTGCAGAAAGTACAATAGATTATATTTCTTCAACAGAATGGAAACCTAAGTGGCTGAAATGGTATACTTAATAATCATCTCAATAATCAAGATATAGGTACAGAGATAATGATCTCCAGATAAGTGTCTTTTCCGTTAAAGTTTAGTTACCTACAAGACCTTCTTTATGACAATATTTATCTAATAACAGAAGCCAAAAACCAAAAGTAACACATCCAGAGTGGGCAAAACGAAACATCACAGGCCATACAATGACATGCACATAAGTACCCAAATTCAACCACTAATCCATCTGTCAATGTACCTGGGACACAAATTCCATCCCTAGTCAAATTTTATTGTAGCTTTTCCACACTTTCCGGAGGCTAGGTCCAACAGAGTCAGACTTACCATAATATCATACAAGTTTATGATCACTAAGAGCAACGAACTTTAAGCAGTTCAAGGAACAGAATCTATTGATCAAAATTAGTTCACTCGTCCATCTAGCAATCCACTCAGCTATGAGCTACTTCAAGACAGCTTTATAATTGATGCTCACCGATAGAAGTAATATGTCACAGTTGCATAGGGTGCAACTCCTAAGAACATCTACCAATGCACAAATGAAATAGACTGTTAACCTGTACTGGTTTGGATGTGAGAAAGAGTTTCTACATCGATGAATTTGCTGTATATCAATCATATACAACTAAACAAAAATGAACTCCATGTGGGCCAATAATGTTGAAGCTTGCCTCTTTTTAAAATAGATCGAGGAACAAATGAACCACTCCCTTCTTTTAAAGCAGATTAAAATTGGAAAATAACTTCAGAAAAACATACAACAAGTGAATCATGGCAGGCTTATTGGAAACCAGAAAGCACTTTAGGGAAAAAAAAAAAAAAAGGTCCCATCTCAAAATGGCAGTTTCTTTAATCTGGCCTTCACAGTTCATACGGATCATGAACCGAGAACATGTCTCTAAAATGAAAAGATGAAATGCAGTGGCAGAAGGAAAAGGTCAATGGATGTACCTGATACTCGTCTGGCCACCTGGATCATCCGATATAATGGGAGAAAAAATGAAAAGAATAAGAAATTAGAGTTTGACTACTAGAATATAGTTACTCCGAAGTTGGTATAACAAAATATGTACGGAATAAATTCATAAATAAATGAAACTACAGCTGACACCACAATAAAGAGAGAATCATCAGAGCCTGAACAACTTAAAGACTATATTTAGTACAGGTCAACTGACTTAAAGTTTAATACTAAGCCATGTCCATAACAACGAATCCGACTAAACTGATAATTACTTCACGATTTTGATTACTATGTTTGAAAAAACACACAATTAGCCCCAGTTTTTCTGTTTTCCAAGCCTCTGGGGCCTCTAATCCATTCAACTCAGTGGACCCTCAGAAAAGAAAAAAGAAGATACTAAATCGGAGCAACCTGTGTCACAAGGTGTAGTTTATTTTCCGATTATAAAATACATACAAAACTCCTGCTTGAACTGAACGAGCATCTCTCAAAATCCAGCAGTAGTCTTATTACAGATATCTAGTGTCTTGTCGCTAATGCATGGAAAAAATCCACCATGTCAACCTTTATTGACCAGGAAGAACTAGCCTACTGTGTGTGTGTGTGTGTGTGTGTGTGTGTTGTGTCTTGTCACTAGTATGCAAGCAGACAGAAATTAACTGCATTAAAACAATCAACAGTAACAAGCCTCTATAGAAACTAATACAAACAAATAAAATTGATAAACTGCGAGCATTAGAAAAATGTATTATGCATGCCAGTCCTTTGCATAGAACTGCCTCTAGTTTCAATTAGAATGAGTGATCACCATGCTAAGTGCCACAAGTGCCAACCATAGATAAAATTTAACTCTTGTGTTGCTTGATCAACATTCAGATGTAGAATTGATGGATTTACATACCTAGATCCCAAACTTGAAACTTTATATTGTTATATTGCACTGTCTCCACATTGAAACCGATTGCTGCAACAAACATAACACAATCAGCACACATGCTTCGTGATTCTAACTCCAAACAAAAAAGCCCTCAATTAACAATCCATAGCCCAAACCCATCTCTCCTTACATCAAAACTGACACAACCACAATTCATTTTCGGCTGTTTTAGTTTCCACATTCCAAATACCGAAACCAATTTCCAATAAACTTAAGTGATCCAAACAGACAACCAGCAACTTATGACAGCAAAACTTAAAAAAATGAACAGAGACGAAATCAGAAATTACTAACTTGGGATAGTCGAAACAACTTCGCCCATCTGAAGCCGATCTGAAAACCAAAACCCATTAAACAGAAAATCGTCATCCGGACTTACAAGAACTCCAGATAGTTGGGCATCACTATTGGTAAAGAAAAAACGGAGGGAAAAGACATTAACTTACAAAGAATGGTGGTTTTTCCGGCATTGTCAAGACCCAATACTAGGATCCGAGCTTCCTTGTTACCAAACAATGATGAAAATAAACGCGTGAAGACGATACCCATTTGGCCCCTCTAGTTATAAAATTCAATTGTAGAACTCATAAAAGAAGAAAAGAAGAAGAATCCAAGATCAGATCTTTACATTCAGTAGTCCTCCCTGTAAACAATCAAAGAGCGCGAAATTCAGCGCTAATTGATAATAGGGAATGGGGACTCTATAGCCTTAATGGACCAGACGAGTACTAATTGAGTGGTTTATTGAGAGTGAAAATTATAGGTTTTAGAGATCTAGCGAGGAAGTGATAAAGATTTACCTGGAAACGAGGGAGGGATCTGATTGAGTGAATGGGGGAATCAGTGAGTGAAAATCGAAAATTTGCAAAAGACGAGACCTTTACCAACAAATTATAAAAAGTACGGGATCGAGAAGGGAATTAGAAACCCGACCCGGAAAAGGGGAATAGTGCGCCTGCTGGTCACTGTATTGCGAGTTCTTTACGCAACTAGACTCATTCATTTGATTCTTCAGATATGTTTGGATCGTTTTTCCCGATACTGCTTTTAAGTGTTTTTTTTAAAGCACTTATATTACAAATTAATAGATCATAGCCCCTCTATATATAAGAAAAAAAATTTACATGAGTTTTGAAATTTTTACTTACAATAAATTTAATTTTCGTCCCTGAAAATTATTTTAAATCGAGTTTTAAAATTTATATTTATCCAATCAAATTGGTATCAATGTGCATAAGACACAATTTCTTTTAGCAAATAAGGTAACTTTTCCCTTTTCGCAATTTCTTTTAGTAAATTTTATTAATTAGAAAGTAATACACAAGATAGTGTTTCAGACTTTCACAAAAAAAGATAAGTTAACATTACAATTTTCTCAAATATTTACTAACACATCAGAAACAATAAAAGCATAAATACTAAGAAAAAATTAAAAATTACATAAAAACTAACTTTTAATAATAATTTTTTAATCAAACCGGCGGTTAACAGTTTGTCCAATATTTGAACCATAACTAACGCTTGACTACACAGTCCAGGTACGGTTTTATAAACCGCCAACCACGTGTTGGTTTATGAATTGATGGGCTAATTCTAATCCGGCTCAAGTTAAAACATGAATCGTGGTTATGCCTGGTTCAAACTCCAAACCTGATGCTATAATGTTATGACCTATTGGTTATCAGAATAGGGGAAGAAATAAGGTTGAAATTATTTAGATTCTAAGTCAACTAAACTAAACTAGATTTCTTTTATTTGTTTGGATTCATTTAGAACAGTGCTGAATCAATTAAGATTTTTTTTTTATAATTATTGTGGATAAATCCATAAACTAAAAAGTTAAAAAAATATATTGTATTGTGGGAACAAAACTAAAATACAAACTCGCCATTCCTTTTTAAGTTGAAAAGAATTCATGCAGTGAAGCACTTCTTGACTTTTATTCCCAAAAAAAAAAAAAAAAACCATCAACATCTTGTATCCATACAATAAATCACGTGCAGAGTGTCGAAATTTTGGTTCCACCGCTGAGTAAAAAAAATAATAGCTGGCACGGGAAAAAAACTTGTGTAGCTGAAAGAAGAAATAAAGACTTGTTTAACTAGAGAAATAGATAATAGAGAAAAATGAAATTCATACAAAAAGGTCGGGGTGTAAATGGTCGCATCAATGTGCCAAAAAATGAAGGAAAGTAAGATTGCGTGGAACAAGTTAAATGAAATTTGAGTCCAATTTTTTATGATGAAATGAAATTTACCATTTATATCTAAAAAATCTTCAAATAAAAGTAATCTTGATTAATGGTGAGTATAGGAATTTGAGTAAGCAAAAAGTAAGTGGGTTAAAGAAGCAACTTTTTGCTCTGAAAACTGATAAATATTACTCCGGAAGCATATATATATATATATATATATATATATATTCATAATCTTATTTTTCACAAATTTTGATAATCATTTTTTAATATTTATTTTATTTTCTTTTTCTTTTTATCAGTTTAATAAATCAGTTTCTGGTTCTTCTTCTTCTTCTTCTTCTTCTTCAATAAATCATCATCCCAACAAAATATGACCGTAGCGTTGGTTCCCTGAACTGGACTGATGTATATGGTGCTTTGCCACGGGCTATGCAATCCAGACGGCCGTCGCAATCTCCGGCGAGGCAATGCCCTTTTCCGGCGGCGTCGAAGCTACAGTTGGTGCGAGCCCAAACCAACAGGTTTTTTGTCTGAGGTATATATATGGACCAAACTTTCATTGGCTCTAGCCTGCGGCCGCCGCCGGGTAGAGCTGCGGCCCATACGGGTGGAGGCATTGATTGACGATATTTACGTAAGGGGTTTCAGCCATTCCATGAATTGAGTTTCTTACAATGGCCAAGGAAACCAAAATGCATGCATAAATTAATTCTTTTACCATTTTCTTTTATCAAAAATTGGAGGAGAAGACGGTGAATGAAGCAAAAAACATTCTTCCAACCGATCAAATAAGTGTTCACTTCTGTGTTTAACCAGTTAATTAATAGTCATTCTACTTATTATCTTCCCCTATTAATTATGGATTAGGATGTTACATATGGGTATAATATTAATAACCGTTTTTGTTGTACATTATTTTCATTTTTTTTTTCGTTTTTTTTTTATTTGGCAGGAGTAGCTTGACAGTGCTATTGTTTACCGGTCCAAACTCTAATATTTCAGAAAAACTGGATAAAGATAGAGATGCCGTAAGTAGGAAACAAGCAATTTGCAAATACTCATAAAAAATGCGAAAAATTATTTGCAAGAAAAATGTATCTTGTTCTTTTGGTTAGGTGATAGTTTCAGCCGTATATAGTTGTAGCTCAATTCTTACATATAGTTGTTTTTCTTGATATAATGATTATCGCCTTTGACAAAAATAATAATAAAAATTTTCGCCTTTGGTACATTTTCTCGTATCTTTTTAAAACTCTTTTAAAGTTGCATTCATTGAAAATTTTAAATTTATTGGTGATGTTCTTCCACCGGATTACATAATAGATTTGGTGATATACTTGATTGTACATCTTAAACTCTTTAACAAGTTTTCTTTGTTTTTGTTTTTTTTTTTAAGAAAAATGTCGATACTTTTTTTTTTTTTTTGGTATCGTTCTTGCCCCTCGACTATGTTAAGATTGTAACTTGTTTTATCTTGCGGAACATGCATTTTAATACCGAATCTCAACCATAATCTTAATCAATGTAATAATTTAAAAAAAAAAATCTTATCAACTTGTGCAACAATCCATTACAAATCTTATCATATTTTATATCATCCCAAAGTCTACCCCGGACTTCTTCGATGTGAAGTATACTTTTATTCATCAAAAGATTTATCCAAATCCCCTATTGTAATTAAACAACACAAAGATTGTCCCGTAAGAAACCTCGGACTAAAGACACAAACACAATCAAACTAAAACACTGAAATCCGTAAAGATTATCCTAAATCAATCCTTACCTTATTTATATCCCCAATCCCAATCCTCCAAACCATTGTTCCACACTCGCTCTTCCTCTCTATCTTAGTTTTCTTCTTACAAAAGTCTTTTTAGTTTTCGACCAAAACTTATTATCACTACAACAATGGCTTCCAACAGCGGACTCGTCATTTGTTTCGGGGAGATGCTAATTGATTTTGTGCCCACTGCTTCCGGCGTTTCATTAGCCGATGCTCCTGGCTTCTTGAAAGCCCCCGGCGGTGCACCGGCTAATGTCGCCATCGCAGTGACAAGACTCGGTGGAAACTCGGCTTTTGTCGGGAAATTAGGAGACGATGAATTCGGTCACATGTTGGCTGGGATCTTGAAACAAAACAAGGTTTCAGTCGACGGGGTCAGTTTCGACGCCGGAGCAAGAACCGCATTGGCATTCGTCACCCTCCGCTCCGACGGAGAGCGCGAGTTCATGTTCTACAGAAACCCTAGCGCCGACATGTTGTTGAAACCCGAAGAATTGAAACTCGATCTCATCAAATCGGCCAAGGTATTCCACTACGGATCCATCAGTTTGATCGTCGAGCCTTGCAGATCCGCCCACATTAAGGCTATGGAAGTGGCCAAGTCGGCCGGGGCTTTGCTTTCCTTTGATGTTAACCTCCGAGAGGCGCTTTGGCCTTCCAAGGAGGAAGCCAAGGAGAAAATCCTTAGCATATGGGATTACGCCGACATTATTAAAGTTAGCGATGTCGAGTTGGAGTTCCTCACGGGAAGCGACAAGATCGACGACGAATCTGCCTTGTCCCTATGGCGTCCGACCATGAAACTTCTCCTCGTAACCCTCGGTGAAAAGGGTTGTAAGTATTATGCTAAGAATTTTAAGGGTCATGTCGATAGCTTTCAAGTCGATACAGTTGATACCACTGGCGCCGGAGATTCGTTTGTTGGGGCTTTATTAGCAAAGATTGTGAACGATGAATCAATTTTGGAGAAGGAAGCAAATCTTAGGGAAGCCCTAAGGTTTGCATGTGCATGTGGAGCCATCACAACAACTAATAAGGGTGTAATTCCATCACTTCCTACTGAAGATCAAGTTCTCGCACTCATAACCAAGACAATCTAGAAAAGTTAAATTTCGGATATTAAGTAGCTTCTTTCTTCTTTTTTTTTGTCCCCTTCGTTTGTTTGCTTTCTTTTTGGATTTGTAATGATTTATATAGGGTTTTTTTTTCATGAAATTATACATAGTTTCAATATTATGCAACGGAATTAGTTGCTTTTTTAACGAATATATTCTTGAGTTGCTTCAATGTTTCGCTCAAATTATTACAATAGAGATTACCTTGGACGGAGAATATATTTAGGGGATAATTAGATGTGATATATATGTGTCTACTAATAGTGGTGTGGCTCTATTGCCAGTTTGCGTTGTGCACATATCATAATTAACTTAATTTATTCGTGGGTTGCCTCACCAACGTACAATTCGGAAAAGATATGTTATAGCCAGTCTTTTTACGAAGACGTGAGTGGATATAAATTAAAAGTTCAGATGAAAACAAGATTAATTGGATACCTTTTTTAAAGAAAAATATATTATAGTGTTATGCTACTGGAGAGATTAATTGTTTCCGAAGCAATTTTATCGTCGTCAACAATTATGTAAGATTATAAGATAGGGATAGATATATTTTAAGAAGAATTTTCATCTTTATCAAATGTGATAATTTAATTTCTTGTGGAGATGAAAATATCCTTCGCTCTATTCTAAATATAAGTTGGGAATTTAACTTTTATTAGAAGTCTTCCCGGGTTAATTACTAATCATTTTGTGATTTATTTTTATCATCACGGCGATACAAAATTGACAGAATAGTAGTGCGGTTATCTAGCTGATGGGTCAAACCTATGTTTAACCCTTTTAGTCATCAACTCAGGTCACTCATTAGTGTTGATGCATGTTATCCTAAGCCAATTTAAATGGTAGCCATCAAGTACAGTATTAGGGTTGTGAATGTAATATTAGAGTTATGGTACATAGTTACCTCTTTTACGGTTGTGTGTATTATATATATGATGTACAAACCCTAAAGTATAGACAGTTTTACGGCTTCAAATTAATGCCGTCTTCCAGTGTCTTTGTATGGTATCAGAGCGGGTTTTCTTCATCGTTTTTTTTCGCCGTCACCATGTCTGACGCGTCCAGTTCTTCGTCCGATGAAGATGTTGCTGCTCATCGGACAATTTCACAATATGGCATAGCTTCTAATGATCACTCCGGCAATATAATCACCCACGTTCACTTAAAGGGTGCTTCCAATTACGTCGAGTGGTCCAAAGTTGTGTGAATGGCTCTCTGTGCTCGCAAGAAATTCGGTTTTGTTGATCGATCGATTCCGAAGCCCAAGAAACAGAAGAATTTTTGGACGACTGGTGTACAATTCAGTCGTAGATTACTTCTTGGCTTCTCAACATCGTTGATCCTTCTCTCCGGTCGACGATACCTCATAAAGAAGTTGATGCCGATCTTTGGGACCATCTCCGGGAAAGATTTTCGGTTGTGACTGGCTCTAGAATCTAGCAATTGAAGACTGATCTTTCTGAGTGTAAGCAGAAAGGCTCCTCTGTTGAATCGTATTATGGTCGCCTTCAAAAATTGTGGGACGATGTGGGTGATTCTGACACGCCGTCGGTCTCTGAATTGTGTGCGCTGTGTCAAGTTAAGATGGCTTCTGTTTTGGAGCTTCACTGGGAGACGGAGCACCTTCCTCAGTTTCTAATGGGACTCAATTTAGACCTCTTTGTTGCTGTTCGTTCGAATGTTCTGTTAACCTTGCCTCTTCCAAATTTGGAATGGGCTTATGCTATGGTTGTGCAGGAAGAACGACTTCGCTCGACTGCCCAGCGTGAAGCTTAATCTGTTTCACCTATGAGCTTCTCTGTTCAGACCAACACTGGCGTCTGGAATCCTGCAATTTCCGGCAGTGAAGTCACAGCTTTGGCTGCTTCCACCAATGCCCAGCTGAAAGGTCGAGGTTCGCGAAGAAATCTTCTTTGCTCCCATTGCAACAATACTGGACATGAGATCACCGAGTGTTTTCAACTTATTGGGTACCCGAAAAACTGGTCTTCTTCTCATCCAATCGCCGGCAGAGGAAGGGGACGTGGTTCGGGCCGTGGTCCTGCTACTTTTCTCGGTTCAGCATCTGGTTCAGTTGGACCGGCTCCTGGTTTACTCGGTTCAATTTCTGGTGCTGCTGCTCACACCATGGTTCAACCGCTTGCTGGTTTTGTTCGAGCTCTCAACCCGGTGCGGTTTCTAGTCTTAACCAAGATCAATGGACCACTTTAATAAATTTGTTGAATTCGGCCAAATTAGCGCCCAATGAGAAGCTGTCCGGTAAGTCTTTTTCTCACAGGTGGATGTATGATTCCGGCGCAACCCGTCATATGACTGGCTCTCTTGTTTATTTCTGCGATATTCGTGATATTGTTGCAGTTCCGGTTCATTTACCAAATGGCCAATGTACTTATGCTACTAAGGCCGGTTCTGTCATTCTTAGCAGCAGCCTGACATTACGCAATGTTCTTTATGTCCCCAGTTTACAGTGCCACCTTATTTCTGTCTCTCAATTATTGCGCGATTCTTCTTATATTGCTCACTTTACTCGTGATTTGTATATTGTACAGGACCTAAGTTCGAGGACTCTGATTGGAGCGAGTGAGCAATGTGAGGGGCTTTATTTTTTCTAGGATATTGCGACTGTTGCTGCTGCTGTGTCCAACGGTCTTTCTTTCTTTGATTTGTGGCATCAACGGCTTGGTTATCCGTCTCCGAAGGTTTTAGCAATGCTTTCCAATGTTGGTTCTAGGAATGATAGTAGTCATCTTCATAAAGCTTGTGACATTTGTTTTCGAGCCAAACAGATGCGTGATACTTTTCCTATTAGTATTACTAAGTCTTCTGATATTTTTTATTTAATACATTGTGATCTATGGGGTCCCTATCGGACTCCTTCTTTTTCTGGGGCACGTTATTTTTTAACCATTGTTGATGACTACTCGTGTGCTACTTGGATTTATTTGTTACATGATAAGACAGAGATTTCTTCGACTTTAAATAATTTTTTTGCTATGGTTGACCGCCAATTTACCAAGTTGGTTAAGACTGTTTGTACGGTGTCTTCGCATACAGTCTAGCTTGTAATTGGTTCACCAAATGCACGAGTAGTTCTTGTATTTCAGCATATGAATTTAGAGGCATTGCCTTTACATTTGACATTTGTTCTCTTGTCTTAGTTTTTAATGAAACATATGATGAAAAGAGTGAAACTTTTAATCAATGACAGATATGCCAAGATTAACTTATGTAGAGAAATTTAATTGAGTTTAGGACATTGATAAAACGTACGAATCCCAATCCTTATTCATTAATCTTTTGTTTTTAATATGCTAATGATTTCAGACACCTGGTGTATAATATTTTGAAAAAAAATGGAAAAAATTTGCTAAAGAATAGTTAAACATATCAAATTAGTAAAAGGGGTATGACCTAAAAATATTTTTTAAACGACGAGCGATAGTTTATTTGTCAAAAATCACAAAATCAATATAATTTTACAATGGCATAATTACCCTTTTAAAATCATAAACTTCATAAAATAAAAACTAAATCCAAAATTTGTCCTTTACATTAGGCCATTTGCACAGTTTGTTCCTCTACATCAACATTTATCTGTTTTGATCTTCTACTTTTATGTTCATAACTTTTTTGGTCCTTTGGCACTATTCCGTCCGTTTGACTGTTTCATACGTTGGTCAACAAAGGTATTTTTGATATTTTACAGAAAAAATTCCTAAAAAATAATTTTATTGAATAAAATAAAAATAATAACATTTAAATAATAAAATAATAAAATTAATTAAATGTTAAAAAATCCAAAATTGGTCCTTTATATTAGGTCAGTTGTACATTTTTGTCATCTACATTAAACATTTGTCTAAAATGAACCTCTACATTTACGTTCATAACTTTTTTGGTCCTCCGACACTATTATGGCAGTTTGAGCGGTTTGGATATCAAGTGAACATGGGTATTTTTGGTATCTCACAAATTTTTTTTCTAGAAAATATTACCCAACTTTATCCTTGCCTGTAGACCGCAACAATTCTTTTTCTTAAAATTTTAATTAGGGTTTCTTCCATATATCCTCGAGCCGATATAGAACTTAATTATGGGTAAATAAAAGACCCAATCATGGAGAGATGAGGAAAATGATTAATTTCATGCGAGGTTCTTTTGTCATTTAAGGATGTTGAACGAAGATAAAAACGAAGATATAAAATTAGAACGAAGATAATGAAAAATAAAAAGTACAGTAAGAAATTATAAGGGTGGTACCGTCAATTCAAAGTATATTTGTATTTTATTTTTTTGATAAATAAGTTACTGTCTTTCATAAAAAAAAAAAATTATTTTAAGGTTATACTCTTTTTATTAATTTGACCTATTCTAATTCCCTTTAGCCAAAATTTTCCCAAAAAAAAAAAAAACCTCAATACAGTTGCTACATATCATGTATGAAAACAGAGGAATGCCATCAAGTTTAAAGACAAAAAAACCACCTGAGATTGTTGTTAGGGAAATCAAGCTGGAAATTACTTGGACAATGGAGTTGCAACAAAGCAACTATTAATGAACTTGTGTTTTTGAGGAGGAGGAGTCAATATTGTGTAAATGGATTGAGCGAGGTGATGACTGTTGATAGGAATGTAAAATATTGACATCGAGGTGTAACATTTCTATTTACCGTTTATCACAAAAAAAAAGAAAAGAAATACCATATCCGAACCTCTTTATGAGCATGGATTTAGAATGAATTTAGTTTAAACTATACTTTATCAAAAACATAATTTGGGATATATATATATATATATAATACCAGGTACCATATCTGTAGACATTAATTTTACAACCCCTTCAGAAGAATTGGACAAAATGTGTAGTCAAGTAGTTAAAGATCTAAGTATTAAACAATTCTATTGTTTCCTAGAGGTCCAAGTAATGTGACCCAGTAGGGAGAATCCATCACCGTCGATGAAATTCCTTACAGTGAACTGTGATGCTTCTGTAGGTGTAGTAATTTTGGTCGACCAGTGTACCCTCCTTGTTGTAGTGGCTCCTAGTTCCCTGTTTGCATTTTCTACGAATTAGGGATGCACAATTGCTTTGCTTTCCCACTGAGTCCATCCCGTTGGTTCAATTTGAGAATCTATGTGACTTTGCATGAAAACACTTCTTGAGTATTCTTTCCATGGTCTTCCAAGGTAGCATTGGATTGAGAAGCAACTCTCGTGTGTCCAGAGTGCAGTTCCAAAAAAAAAAAAAAAACCATGGTATTGTCTTTTGCAGTTCTCTTCTTTGCAGTGGCAGATACAATGTACGTATTTTTAGAATTTTAAAAATAATACATAATTTTTCAAAGTTTTAAAATTAATCTACGTATTTTTTAATCAAATATTTTTAGATATTTTATATTTTATTAGTTACACAAATATTTATTATCTTACGTTACCATGTGTCATTTATTGTTTGAATAGAATAATTACAAGTAAATATATTTATCTATTTGATCATAATATGTAATCTTGTTTTGTGCATGAATGCATATAATTAATATTAATTATGTGCAAATCACGTGCAAAACATGTGTAAATTAAATATATATATATATATATATATGTAAATTTAGAAAACTGGCCTAGAATTGATTGATTGATATATGTTAATCTCGTGTCGATATAGAAAAATATTTCTGGTGCCGCCACTGCTTCCTTATGCAGTGACAGTTATGTACTGACCTAGAAGGGGTTGACGGACTCGAATGAGCCAAATTTGGAACAAGGAAGCTGAATCCCCGAATATAAAATCAATTGTCCCATTAATCTCGCACTCCCTGAAAAATGTGTTACCAATCTCGTGTATAGATTGTCCTGGTATCCCAGAAATCTGCATTGGTAAAACATAGAGTCATCTCTATTTGTATGTAGTGCAGTGGCGGATGGCCCCCACTGGTCCACCCTAAATATATACAATTATACATAGTATTATTTATCAAGTGTTAGGCATAATAATTAATTAATTTTTGGACCAATTTAGATTGAATTATCTACTTTCTCTTAGGTGTGTTTTTCCTTGATTCAAAATAGCCAGGCCACATGTATTTGATTTAGGTTTAAGTCATTTTTTTTTTTGGACAACAAAAAAGAAAAACCAATGAATCTATAAATACATTTTCGATAATAAGTGAGGCATTAATTCACATTATTTAAAGCAGTTGTCTATTCCCTCCAACCGAATTATCACATAAAAAACTCTTAAGTGAAGGTGTGCTTTTTTTTTAATGGTAAAAGAGTAATACTTTTTTGTTATTTATATTCATAAATCGCTGATAAAATGTGAAAACTCATTGTAACAACTAAGAAATAAATGTCATTGTTAATGTCTTGATGCATTTGTGTTGTAGATCCGCTACTGATGTAGTGATGCATCTTGCATACTCTATGGTCTTGCTGTGTTTTTAATAGTGATACCTTTGGCCATGAAATTAGGGGTGTCACTTAACTGGGTCAACCCGAAAAACCACCCGAACTGAATCTGTTTTTGCTTGTTCGGTTCGGATGATTCAATGTTCGGTTCTACTTTCGGATTCACCCGAATAGTTAATTCTTTATACGGTGAGGGTGCGGTTTGCGTAAATATTTTTTGGTCCCGCCCGAAAACCCGAATAAAAATTATAATTCAATATTTTATATTTTAATTAGTAGTATATATTAAATTCTTAGGGTTTCTTCTCTTTCTTTGCGGCAGCCTCCCCCTTCCTTTCTCTCTCCGCCGCAGGTAGCCAACCATGCCCTTTTTTTTCTTCCTTTTCTCCTCCAACCCTGCGCCTCCTTTTTTCTTCCCCTTCTTCTCCATCTCTCAATTCTATTCTAATGATTTTGTGTCTTCTTAATAAACAAGTAAAAATTTAGATCTATATTTTCTTGATGTGTATTTCGGCTATTTTAAGCGAGATAAGGTGTGGATAAGTATACTTTCCGGAAGCTTTTTGCCTTGAGCGGTTTCTTTCTTTATCCTGCTTCCAAAAGTCTATAAAGGATTTATGAGTGATGGAGGATGATGGAATCAGAAGTTAGGCTCCATTGATATGGATGGTGTGTAAAGTTCAGGCCCCCATTTCTGTTTTTCTTTTTTTTTTGTTTTTTTTTTTTTGCTGAAGTAGTCTCTGTAGTGAAGGTGAATTGTTGAATTTATGAAGTAGGCTTTGTCTTCGTTGTTCTTCTTCTTCAATCTTCAGAGAGAAAAATTCTTTGAAATTTTTTCAGTTTAATCGGGCACCGAACCGGATAAGACCGAAAATCCGATTGCTTATTCGGTTCGGTTTGGTTCGGTGAAATATAATTCTCAGTTCGATTTCAGGCGGATTTTACGAGAGTAAAAAACCGATTAACCCGAACTGATCTCACCCGAACCGACCGAACCCGTCCGATTTGACAGCCCTAGATGAAATTGTGGCCTAATTTTCCAGCAAGTAGAAGAACCATAAATGAGTTGGATATTAACATGGAAATTTTGAAAAGTTAAACTAGAGCTTTACCTATTGTCGTGTTTTTGCAAACCTCGACCACTATGTTTGCACTTATAGAATGACGTGGTATCATACTGTCATTAGCATCAAAACTACGACAAAAATAATCACAAATATTCATAAAAAATTTGCAAGAAAAATGTATCTCTAGTCTTTTAGTTAGGTAATAGTTTCAGCCGTTAATTATTATAGTCCAACTCTTGTAATTATTTCTCTAATGCGATGATTATTGTTTTTGACACAAAAAAAAAAAAGAGAAAGAAATCTTCATCTTGGATGGGTTTTATCCCCCTATAATATTAAAGGCTATACGACAGTTTCATCAGATAATTTTTCCGCTTGCAAATGGGTGTTTATTGGGTATCTTTTCCTTTGGTACATTTTTCGTATCTTTTTAAACTCTTTTAAAGCTCCTTTCGTTTATTTTTATTTTATTTTATTTATTTTGTACAAGTTGAATGTTTTAATTTATTGTACATCTTAAACTCTATAACAAGTTTTCTTATTTTTTTTTCTTAAAAAAAAAACAAAACATAGATACATTTTTTTTTTTTGGGTATCGTTCTTGCTCCTAGACTATGTTAAAAGATTATAGCTTGTTTTATGTTGCGAAACATGCATTCTAATACACCGGATCTCAGCCATAATCTTTATCAATGTTCCCATGGCGTTTACTCCGGTCACCGGCAACTGCCGGGGCATCCGGTGCACGGCCAACATTAACAGCCAATGTCCGGCGTCGTTGAAGGCTCCCGGAGGATGCAACAACCCATGCACGGTGTTTAAAACGAATGAATATTGTTGTAACACCGGAGCATGTGATATTCTTTCTATATTGGTTTTCATTTTTTTAAAATATAATTCCTATGATTCCATCTTAAATATTTTAAGACAGAACATAATTGTTTAAGCTCGAATGGCAATGCAGATTAGTGAAAGACAGAACAAAAAAAGAGGTCTCCCGCGCTCCAGTTTCCTTTGAATGTTGATACTTCTCCTGTAGGGCTTTTCTTAGAGAGGTGGACTACAGAGCATTGAGAGATTTCGAAGGTGGAATATGAACCAACCATGGAGTAATAACTCAGAAAATGGGAAAAAGACACCTCTAGAAACACAAATATATTGTTGATCTGAAAATGTTTCACTAAACTACATTAGGTGAGGCTCCTAAGGAAATCCGTTAACTCTTTAGCTCTTAAATATACCACTGCCTACTGCTGCTGCCTTTCTAACTAGAGACATTATTTTTTCAACACACGAGTAACAAAGCTGAAATCTCTTCCCGGAAATGTCTACAGTGCACTCTGGAAAATCATCTCCGCAAGTTCCTGAAAAAGCAAGAAAAACATGATTACTACCCATAATAATAAAGAACAAAGGTCATCTGATGGAAAAGGTAATAACAGTTTTTTAACACTTTGATATCTGGAGGCAAATGTACCTGCTTTGCAGAACCAACTTTAGGTTCTCCCCATTCCTTCACTTTCTTCTCTAGGTATTCAAAATCAGCTTTGCCCGCCTGATATGATCCATCCATAGTTATAGACGACATGCACCAAAGATGGAAAAGAGAACATAAACCATCAATTTTGACAGAAAGGACATTACCTCAATCTGGGCACCAAGTTCTGAATCAAAACTGCTGTATCTCTTGCGAACAAGTTCTTCCAAAGAGCCATCCTGACCAATTTTAAGTGACAAGTATTAAATTTCAATGAGTCATTCAGGGGAAATGTAAGAAATCAAAAGAAGTAATAAGTAAAGATGCATCACCTCAAGCAGCTTTGCAGCATTACGAAGACCACGAGCTAGGGTATCCATTCCAGCTATGTGGGCAATAAACAAATCCTCCACATCGGTACTTTCCCTTCGCCTATTATATTATCAATAAGAAGATCATCATTTCGAGAACAAGAAGCTGGGCCTGAAAGCAGTGAAATAAAGGAGCAGTAACAAAATTGAGGTGAACTTACAATTTGGCATCAAAGTTGAAACCTCCCGGTGCCAATCCTCCCTGCGATTTAAAGTCAGAACATGAGCCCAAGGACATTTTTGCAATTGCTTTTGCTTTTCAAGTGACTATATGGGTGGGGTGGGGGGGAGGGGGGGAAGGGGGGAAACCTTTGCTTACATTTTTAATCACACTGAGCATGACTAATGTTGCTTCCTGGATGTCCATTAAAAATTGATCGGTATCCCAACCTATCGAAGAACAAAGCTAGTCATGAGTTAAACTGAAAAATTGACAAGAGATAACCACACAATAAACATCAAGTACCAGTTTGAGGATCTCCAGTATTTGCATCTATGTTTCCCAGCAAACCATTTATTCTAGCAGTTTCAAGTTCATGATGACAGCTGCAACATATTAAACACAATCAGGAGTGAACTAGCAACTTTGTGCAAATTTTACAAACATGCTATCCAAAAAAAAAAAAAAAAAAAAGAAAGAAAAAGAAAAAAAGAAAAACAAAAAAAACAAAAGGCTAGCAAGAGTGAAATTTTAGAGGACCTGTGCCCGGATAATGTGGCATGATTGCATTCGATGTTCAACTTGAATTCATCTGCATAAAAAGAAAGAAACAAAATTAGAATGCCAGAAATATAATGAGGTTAGTATGTCATCAAAATAACTGAAAATTAGTAGATGAGTGTCCTCATATTTATTAATATCTCTAAATTATTAAAAGAGAAGCTGATTTTTAATCCTACGGATGTTAAATTGCAGTAAAAATATGTAATATCTCTGAATTTTTAAGAAAGCAGACTTTTTTATCCAGCAAATATTGTTAAAATTGCAGTCAAAATTTTTCTGTTACTCTAGAAAACACTGCTCCAGCTCCCAACCCCTCTGAAGGAAGGAGGGTGGAGAGCTGGTGCGAGTGTGGTGGTGCAGCAAATGAAAGAATCAAAAGGACTAAGAGAAAAGGAAATGAAGATATTACTCATGAGAAGTGAACAGGATACACTTCAATGGGAGGTATAAGACTATTGAATCTGACCATTACCTATAAGACCATATTTGCGCAAGAAGTTAGCTGCTGTTGCAGCATCCCAATCATACCTACAGCCAAATTAAAATTAGCAGAGGACTAAATTTTAGCTAAATAGCAAGACACTATACACTATGCAAAGCAAATTGAAACATACTGATGCTTTGTTGGCTCTTGTGGCTTAGGTTCAATTAGAAAAGTTCCTGCGAATCAAATAACAAGGAGAAAGAACATATTTTAGATGTACAAAAAATATGAATGTATACACACAAAAAAAAAGGAAGGGGAAAATTAACAAGATGTTTATGCTAGAAAAATTAATCAATAAACATACCATTGAAACCTATCTTCTTCTTGTACGCAACAGCACCTTCCATGAACCTTGCCTGTGTGGATGTCAAAAAGCTCGGTTATACTCAGAGAAGCACATGAATAACGTATTGAATGCAATATTTGCGTTGTTGAAAAAATGAGTTGAAAGTTTATAAAATGTTTAGACTCCTCAGCAGGCCTGCATACAGACCTGGAAAGAACTAAAACAAATATATATATATATATATAATTAAAAAAAAAAACAAAAAATTAGCTTAGCACGAAAGGGCCAAAACCACATACCAAATGGTTCAGTTCTCTTTCCATATCTGTGTTCAAAAGGGATTGATACCCCTCTCTACCTCCCCAGAAAACATAATTCTCCCCACCAAGATAGTGAGTGACCTGCAGAAAGATCCAAACTTGGAACAATCAAATAAGATAATAACCAGAAAACCAGCATCGGTCGCTATTGTAAACTGCTGAAACTAGCACACACATGCAACAACTAGCAGCGAGAGACGTAATATCGTAGTATAGAAAGCATGAGGCCCCAACAGAATTATATAAAAATGTTTCTTATCATCAGAACCAAAAGGTACTCACCTCGATGGCTTTCTTAACTTGTGCTGCGGCATAAGCATACACACTTAACTCTGGGCTATAATTCAAAAATCCAATTACTATGTGCTTGCAAACAGAAAGCTTAGATAACATTAAAAACTCCGGAGACCATAATTACCTGGTAGCAGCACCATGCATATAGCGAGGATGCACAAACAACTGAGCAGTGCCCCATAATGGATGAATCTTAGACCCCTAAAAAGTCACACAGTTGAGAATCTATCAGGTAAAGAAATATCACTTAAGTATAAAAGGAAAAACTTTCAATCAGAATTCCTAATTCCCTTTTTGAGTGAAGGCGAATTGCTTCAAACAATTATCAAGATGAGGTCAGAGGTTCAAGACAAGGAATCAGCCTTTTTGTTTTTTAGTTATAAAGTAAGGGGTGACTTGATGACACCTCTGAAGTGTAAAATCAAGATACATATGGAGACGCACACAATACCTGAAGCTCTTTCGCTAGGGCAACAACTTCATCCAAATTGGCATTAGATTCCTGCGTCATCATAAATGAAAATAAGTTTGTTAATCTCAAACTATGTCACAGCAGATCTTCATATCTCCATGGACAATAAGGTAACTGAATAGTCATAATATTAAAAGAGCCAAAAACACAAAATAATGAACACATGTGTTCCAGAAATACCGCAAATCAATCAACTCAGAGATCAGAATGAAAAACAAAGTACATAAGCACAAGTTACCAACCTCAATAGTTTTGCCATCAGGAGCAATATCTCTATCATGAAAGCACCAGAATTCAACCCCAAGCTTGTCCAAGAACTCAAAGTTGGCTCTCACTGGAATACCAAGAATCATGGTTATAAAAAACATTGCCAAGTTGTGGAAACTTTGAAAAATACAAATATCCAGAACAAGGAATCTCAAAGATAGCTCACTTACTTCTTCTCTTGGCCATGGCAACAGAATTGGTACCATCCTCCCATGGCCACATTTTTGTAGCGGCTCCAAATGGATCACCTCCAGTCCCACGAAATGTATGCCAAAATGCAACACTGAATCTCATCCAATCCTGCACACAATTGATTTTGTCAATGACAAAAATTAAGCAACAGCAGCAAGAAAAGAGAACTTTGTATTTACTTTGCCTGAGGCATGAAGAGACTGAAAACATGTGAATCAGATAAAAGTATTGTAGTACCTTCATTTTCTTCCCAAGGATCTCCTCATCTGCATTGTACCATTTAAATGCTAGATGATTCTTGGTTTTAGGACCCTAAAACAAAATGGGAATTCATGTCACATAGCTAAACACTGAATCTCTTGATCAAAGCACAAAAGGAACTTACAATTAACCAAAATTTATTGCACGTTCTAATTCCAAATATAAATATATAACAAAAGCATCACATTTCCCTTCTTACCTCATATTTAATCTTAGGGATTCCAGGGAAGAATTCACCTTTCCATTCACCCGAATCAGGGGCACAATCACTAGCAACATCTGCGGGACAAGTTGGAGGGCCAGCCGCAATCTGCATGTAAAACAGTTGAGTCAATTTGAGGAAAGATGTGGAACCAGCCAAATCAACGGAATTTATCATCCGTAAATAACAGAGTAAAGGAATCGTGTGTACCGCAACATTCAAGACTAAATACAGCGTAAGAGAAAGCCATAAGAATTTCCAAGCCTCCATTTTTACAATTGCATATAAACCTTTGCAACCTGCATCAACAACATCACAATAGACATTGCCACAGAGAATCAAGAACATATTAATTCCACAACACCAGCAATTCCTACCGCCAAAGTACATCCAACTCTGAACTCAGTATACAACTCCAGAGAATTTCAAGCACAAAAATCCAATCAACCTAGGGATGCTCTTTTGATAGTCCGAAAAAAAAAGAGAAAAAGAACATGATTTCGTGAAAGAAAAAGAAATACTATCGAAGCTGATAACAATCAACAGAAAATCATGACTGAAAAGAACAAGCCCTACTCTCCTCGATCGAACTCAGTGAACAAGTTCAAGACTTCTTCTTTAAAGGGAGACAAAACATTCTGTAATTCATAATAGAAACTCCAAAATCTCACACAATCATTTTAAATCTTTAAAAAATCCAATTTAAGAAGAGACACAAATAAGAAAAGATCAACTTTTTCACACTCACTTTGAAAGACCCTTATCAACCCTTTACTTCAATTCGACCAACATTCAACAAATTGATTAATTTAAAGTCAATCAAACAGTAGAGAAGAGCAATGGATACTTACAGAAAAAAACGGAGTGAAGAAAAGGGATGAACAATGCTGAAGTCAACTATTTGTAAAAAGACAGGGGAAATTGAGTAGACTGAGAGGTAGAAAGATTTCAAGGTGAAGAAGACTGACCCAATGACGGTAATTAATATATATGTTTGAGATCGAAGAGTTCGAAGAGTTCCCCAACTGAAATCCTTAAATTACTGAAACTTCTAACCAGATAAATGTGCTCGTCGTCATATAATCAGGAACTGAATCGAGATAAAATAATAATAATCCGATTTTTAGATAAGGATTTATGCTTATCCCAATGAGATATATTACGTTCTTCACACGTGTTTATGCAGCTGCCGGCCCCCACGCTTCTGATTGATTCTGCATTTTCCCTTTTCTCTTTCACTTTTCGATAATTTCCCATGAATTTTGGACATTAACTTTGCATGGTTTAATTGACTCTACCGTAATCGGATTATTCAGAGTTAACATTTTCGTTTTTCCCTTATGAGTAATGATATGCATATAATAAAAATGAATATAGATAAGGAAATGATGCGAATGAGGTCACAGTCGTCAATCTAATTAACTCTTCACATTTTAAGTTCATCCATTTAATTAGGTTTACAATTTAAATACAGTCACGTCATCTACTTATGAAGTTCTTATATGGTGCACAAGTTCACATGGTTCACCGTACGGGTGCACTGGTCTATTAATGAAATATATTTAAAGAATAAATAATTAATTAAAATATTAAGTCTTAAATTAGTCAATTCTCTTTTCATGTTTAATGCTATTATTTATCACGTATTCAAGCCCAGAACGTAATTACAAAGAAAATTCAAAAACAAAAAAATATATATTAATAAATTAATATAATCTCATTCATACAAAAACTAAAAGTTCATAATCATATAATGAAAAAATCATGAATAATAATCATATTTTTCATGTTAAATATACATAAAATTCATAGCTTTTGATTGCAAAATTCTACACATAATCACAAATTAAAGGTTTTCATCTGTTTAATCTTCTATTCATATATATACTATGTTTGTTTATGAAAATTATGTGAAATGTTCATACAAATTAGAGAAATTTTATAAATTAATTATTTGTACAATAAATGTTCATACTCTTTTAATAAAATATTCATGAATAACGCTCATACTTTTCATATCACGTGTATCCAAGTTTTACAAATTGGAGAAATTTTAATAAATTAATCATGTATACAATAAAGGTTCATACTCTTTTCATGAAATATTCATAAATAACTGTCGTACTTTTCATATCATGTGTATCCAAGCTTCACAACATGTTCTTGATAATTGAAAGATTAATACAAATAAGAAGTGTAAAGATCATATTCATGTCCATATAAAATAATGTTCATGAGAATTATGCAAATTTTATTAAAAATAAAATACAAATATTTAAAAAAAATTTAAAAAATTTTATATTCATAGTTCATACTCATTCCATGAAATATTCATGAGGGTCCGTGAGTTTAATATACTCAAATTTTAGTTAGTAGAAAAAAGTGTTCTTAGGGTTGGAGGGGTAGCAATTTATGAGTTTCTCGCATTTGGGATATGCGAAAAAACTGATGTTCGCATTTACCATATGCGAACAACCTTACGTAATTAATTAGTTAAACTTAAACAAATAATAAAGACAAATGAGATAATTCGAAGTGGGCCATCACCCAAAATTCGCATAAGCCAAATGCGAAAACAATAACCTGAATAAATTAAAGCGGAAAGAGAAAGGAAAGAGGAAAGTGTGGGCCATCACCCAGAGTTCGCATATGCCGAATGCGAAAATAATAACCTGAATAAATTAAAGCGGAAAGAGAAAGGAAAGAGGAAAGTGTGGGCCATCATAATACTTTCGCATTCAACGAATGCGAACAGAAAAATATAGGTAAAAAAAAAACGTAATTATCTTTTTATCCTATTAAAATCGACCAGTCAATAGCGTATCGACACGTGGCGATTCTTGACAATTTGGATAAATGTTCGCATTTGGCGAATGCGAATGTGATGGCTAGACTCATAATTTAAAACTCATCACCCCAATTCGGCGAACTAAAATCATCAATTCTTCTTGCATTCGGTTGAAATTTTCATTCCGGTGGAAGAGACGGAGTGGAAAGAGGCATTTTTCATATTGAAGGTTGGAAGGTTGGACCGCACGGAGCAAGACAGAGGCAACCCATTTAGGTAAGTTTTTTTTCTCTATGAAATTTGTAAAATTTATACATTCTATTGTCATTTGGGGCTATTAATCTTGTTGTAGTGTACGAAATTACTAAATTTATTAATTTCGGTAGTTATTGAGAATTGGTTTTAGAAAATTTGCTTCAATAAATATATATTTGATGTAGAATGAAGAATAAAAATTATTTTTATAATGTGAATTGTTGAATTTTGTTGAATATTATGAGTTATTTTATTAATTTAGAGAATAACCCGGTTGATCTCGAATTTTTTGGTCTTTATTCATCAATTTTGTGAATTTTATATTCTGACCCAATTATTTGTAATGTTATTGATTTGACCCTGTTTTATTTGTTTTTATTTTGTTAATTTTGTATTTTATCAAATATATTGTGTAAATCTAAATTTATTAGTTTGATCAAAAATTGTTATTCTTTTAATTGAAAACCTTGTTATATAGATGTCGAATTATATTTTTTGAATAATTAAATTATGTTAGAGATTTTTCACTAAAGATAGGACTTATTGTTAGTTTTGGAGTAAATTACTGCTAGTGAGGTAGAATATTGCTATAACAAGCATGAATTGATGTATTTGTATGTTTAATTGAATAAAAATTAAATGTGCAGGCCCTTAATATGTCTTTTCCGGTCCCTTCGATCCGAATATATTCGGTCTAGTGATCGATCATGTTGGGGATATGGGAGAAGTTATTTACGCCCGATGCAACAGTTCGTATCGATCGAGTGTGGAGTTTCTCTGAACTTGATAATTATGTACACAGGCTGTTAGAATCTGAGAACCAACAAATACTTCCTCTACAATATGTTTTAGTCTGCACAGATGAGTACGGCAGAAGGGGGCAAGCGCCCATAAGAGACGACGAGTCAATGTCATGGATTTACCGAGGTGCCCATTTGCGTCCAGCATTGTATGTAGAGGTTGCAGATGAACTGTTCAAGATGTTGGGGAAGGAACTACGGTGGTCGTATGATGGTGCGGGAGTAGTGGTGTTGGTGGTACCAATGAAGATGACGATGACACAGAAGATGACGTACATGGGAACAGTGACGAGGAGTATGTGCCGTCCGATGAGTCTGATGATGATTACAGTGACCATGACGCATCTTCGTAGTAATTTCTATTTTTGATGACATCAGTGACATGGACAAGTCTGAACTGGTTGAGGATTCTGATGGGATCACAATGTGGGACGGTAATTGGCAGACGGTTAGACATGGTGTACATTTTGCTAACAAGAAAGAGGTACAAACAGCCGTGGGGGAATGGACATTGCGACAGGGTCGGGCATGTCGGGTAAAATATAGTCGTCCCTATACGTGGGCCGCTGAATGCGAGACGAAAGGGCCGAAGTACCCAGAAGAACTTCTCCACGGCACTACTTGCTTGTGGAAATGTCGAGCTACCCTGCAAAAAGACACAAATACTTGGAGAATGGTGGTATGGGTCGAGAGCCACAACTGTCTTGGTGCAACCACAAGAAACGAAGGTCGTAACTTGACGTCCACAATGATTGCTCGATTGATCACAGCCAATGTCCGAAAAGATCCAGGTTATTCAGTCGCACAGATCCAAGTCGAAGTAAATAAGAGATACAGGGTCACCCCCAATTACAAAAAGGCATGGCATGGTCGAAGAAAAGCACTTGAGAGTCTGTATGGCACATGGGAAAACAACTTTCAACAACTGCCCAGTTTTCGGGAAGCATTGCTCAAAGCGAACCCAGATACCCGTATGCAGTTTAAGTTCACTAAAGATACCAAGAATCGGAAGAAGAAGGTGTGCAGGTACATTTTTTGGGCATTTGGGCCAGCTATACATTTATTTAGAGCTGCTTGGCCGGTCATAACCGTCGACGCCACCCACCTCCGAGGTTCATACAAAGCAACATTGATCGTGGCATGTGTGAAGTGCTCGAATAACACAATTGTTCCCATCGCGTTTGCTCGTGGATAAAGAGACATTGCACACTGGAAATGGTTCCTTAAATACCGAAAACATTTGTTCTACTTGACAAGGAGACATGCATTATCTCCGATCGCCATACGTGTATTCTTGCTGCTATGGATGTTATGCTTGATAAATTTCCGAGGATGGGAGTGCACTGTTATTGTCTGCAGACATCAAAGCAAATTTAGCCGGCAATTTTCCCGGCGAAACTCAAAAGACCTTGTCAAAGGGCTTGTTCAATGTTGCAAAAGGGAAGTTTGAAAAAGAATGGATGAATTTAGAAAGTAAAAATAGAGATGCAGCCATATATCTTCAGCAAATCGGTCTTGAGAAGTGTACCCGTTATTGGGACGGGGATATCGTTGGGAGAAATGACTTGAACATATCCGAGAGTTTTAATAATGTCTTAAAAGGTTGCCGGATGCTCCCTATCACCGCTTTGATTCTTGCCACATTGTATAAGACTAACAAGTTGTTTCAGAAAACATTGATGAAATTGACAAATGCCATTCACCCTCGCGACGAATCCCATGAAACGGTATGAGGATTACCGTATACATCGATGGGTCACGAGGTTACCAGATTTAGCAAGAGGAATCGAAGTACCAAGTGGTCACGTACTCACCACCTGATCGGCCATGGAAGGGTGGAAATATCCATGAGGTAAACTACGCCGCCGGGATGTGCACATGTAACAAGTGGCGGACATACAGTTTCCTTGCTCCCATGCGCTTCTTGTTGCTGTGTATCTACGTCATGATCCATTACCGCTTTTGATTCATTTTATAGTAGGGAACAATGGGCTATTCGGTTTTCTCGGAGAATTCAACCCAGTCCTTCAACCATGGCCACAAGCGACGTGGCATCCGAGGCTGATGATACGTTACTCGTACACCATGCTGGCCCAGTCGGAAGCGTGTGAATCAAAAGAAAGGACTTATGGATTATACGAAAAATCTGTAACAAGAGAGTTCAAGTTTGTGGTCGATGTCATCAAGAAGGCCATAATGCCGGTGCATGCGTAGTTGAGAAAGTTTGCGCGCGATGTGGAGGATTCGATCATGATACCTTCAACTGCGCATTCTCACATCCATCTTCAGACAGGACTCCTTTGAATCATTCTTACGATCGATATGGAATGCATGGTGTACCCCATATGCATCGATGATTCGATGATCAATCTGCGACTCGAGTAGGAATTCAAAGTTTGTGTTTGCGTAATAATCTGAATAATCTTTAAATAGTGGTTCTGGTAGTGTTTG